TATATACATATATATCATTATCATTGTACATAAGTATAAATATATATATATATATGACAAAAAGAAATATTAATATTTTAGCGTATATCCCGACAATTGTGTATATCAGTAATAATAATAATTACAATGACGATTAAAAATAATAATATTAATGATAATAATAATAATAATAATTGTGGGATCAAATATACCTTCATTTCAAATAAACTATGGATTCGTGAGAAAGTTGACCGGAAGACCTTGGAATTCAAATCCCGATTTATTCAGTCAATCAGTCTAATGGTTCAATTTTCTTCACGAATACTATAATAAAAATAATATAATCTTATTTATTGTAAAATTACACAAGCACCTGTGCTACCTTTCTTAGGAACCCCCGAAGGAGACGGTTACCGTTTACGAAGCTAAAATCGAGACGACTACGAAAGAAGATGAAATAGAAGAAGATCAATTAAATCAAGAAGAAAAATCTAAAGAAGAAGAAGAAGAAAAACCATTAATATTATTCGAAAATATTAATAAAAACGATCCCATAAAGAAGGACACTACAAAGTCCGAAGAGATCGTTCCGGTTGCCGAATTTGTTGATGAAACAAACGGGAGTAATAGTTTTTCGGAAATAGTCGATTATAAAATACCGATCGATATAAAAGCCATATTGAATGTAACTAACGTTAATAAAAATACGAACGGAAGTGAGATTATTAATGATGATTTGAAATTAAAAGAAGTATTGTCGGTTAACGTTAGTAGTATAGCACCTACGTTGGTACTCGTTTTAACACCAACCAAACAACCACATATCGAATCATCGTCATCATCCTCAAATGAAGAAGATGATGATCCTATAGAAGATTTATCTAATATTACAACAACCGGTCACGTGATCATTCGTATGACCGAATCGATAAATTCGAGCAATCAGAACGTGGACGAGGTCAACGAGTCCAATTCGATGATACAACCTTTGACTAAATTATCCGAAAGTTCTTTGATATTTGAAGATAATAACGGGGGAAACAATTCGGAAGCATCCGGTATGAAAATGGAGGATGACGAGGAACAGGAAACTATTTACGAGGATGAAGAATCACCGATTGATGAAGAAGAAATCGATGAAGAAAATGACGATTACCTTGACACGACTGATAATCCTATCGAGGAAGAATTAATCGAACTCGAGGGTGAAATTTTGAAACATGGCGAAGCTGGTATTACTATACCTATAAAGAATTTGGATAGATTACATTTGGAAGATGATCGTAATAAAGATGATGGAACGATGATGATCGATTCGAATAAAAAAAATCACAACAATACGTTAGATTCTTCGCGTGACGAAATTACTATTCGTTTTAATCATAGCATTTCAAATACGGACGAATCGGATAGTAAAATTTCAAGCGAAGCTACGATCAAAGACGACGTTATCATAGAAACAACATTGTTAAACGTTAATAATCCTATTAAAATTTCGAATGATAATAAATCTTTGATTAAAAATGATACTACCAAGATAAACGAAGATGAACGTTTCAACGAACATTTCGAATCGGAAAAGATTCATGATAATAAATCTAAAATATTATTACCGATGGAAGAAATACATACGACTATTGTATCAACGAGTACCGAAGAAAATATTTTATCGGATACGAAACAACAACAACAACAGCAGCAGGTAAGTAGGACGAAATTCGATGATGAAAATGAAAAGAATCCTACGGATTTAAGGAACGTCGAACTTTTGGCTGAACCTTCATCATCGGAATCGCTTCTTTACGATCCTCGTTTCGACAATCGTTACTTGGAAGCATCGATAACCGAAGTAGAGGATTCAACTAAAACCAGTAACAGTTTTAGTACGCGAAATATCCTCGATCTCGAAGGTTCACCGAGTTACGTAAGATCGTCACAAAGTTACGTTAAATTTCCATCAGACGAGATCAATAGTATACATAATCAGGATTACAAAGATGGACATCAGAATCATCATCATCATATTTTCGAGGAAGGTCCACCTTACGTTAGTACGAGTAGTACGAAAAGTAGCGTACCGATTTTTCATCAAAAATCATCTTACTCTAGGACACCAATTGGTGGTTGGAGAATAGATAGGCCGGAACAACAACAGGAAGATAACGAAAGGCATCGTTCGGTTGTTGTTGTTCAAAGACAAAAACCAAGGCCAATGTATTTGTATAGAACGAAATCACCACCACCTTTAACGAGGATTTCTTCACCTAGTTTATTTTCAATTGGTCAAGGTGGTCCTCGTTCAACACCAACTATCATGGACAGAGGTTATAGAAATGATTATGTTCGAGTATCATCTCGTCGTAGGGTTAAATATTAAATAATCCATATCAAATGGATTCGCCTGATTGAGCGAAATAAATGAATAAATATATTCGCGTTGGGCTATCAAATATGTCGCCGACGTTATTCGCTGATTATTTGAATGTTTCTCACCACCCTTGAGAAATTCTAAGCCCCAACGATGCTGATTCGATTATTATAAATCGAATCTTGGATCTGCCGAGAGATTCTCAACTCTCCTATCTGTGTATACGTGTCTCTTTCTCTTTCTATCTATCTATCTTTTGGAATTATGCCAAATAAAAAACAAAGGGGTTGAAAGAAGCAACCTATCGTTCGTTAAAAACGTGTGATACGCGATCGGGAACACGCTTATCTTTTGGCACATGCACGTTACCTTTTTTTTTTTTTTTTTTTTGTAATATTATGGTACCGAATCAATCTCTGGTTGATCTAAACGAAAATTTTCTCTAGTAATCATTTTGAAAATAAACAAAAATTCAACACAACAATTTCGATAGATACATATTATAATAAATCGATCTAAATATTTCTTTTTCATATTTTTTTTTGTTCCTTTTATCCTCAAATAATACCAATGAAATAGAAATGGTTTATTAGTTTCCTTTCTTCTTTTTTTTTTTTTTTCTTAGACGGGCCAACGCCCGATCCAAAGATATTTTTTGTTTAATATTCGTTGGAATATCGCGTATACATATCTCGAAAATAAATATTACGGTTTCGTTTAGTTGGCACAAGTTTTCAAACTATGTCAGTATATAGAACTGAGTCCGAGTAAAACTGGGTTCGCAGTAATCGTTTCACTTTCTAACGAGATTAAAACTGACATTGGTACAACGTTTGTAACAGGGGAAAAAAAAACTATTGCAAATCTAACCGTACAAAAAGAGAAAGAGAAAGAGAAAGAGAGAGAGAGAGAGTGATTATTATGTCACTGTATAATAACGTAATGCAATCGTTATTGTAACGAATTTTATCGAACGATAAAGAGAAACAGAAGAGAAAAGAAGTGAGAAGTAGTTAGAGGAGGAGGAGGGGAGGCTAGGGGGGGGGGTGTATCGTTGAAAATTTTCTTAACATAAGCGTGTGAAAACAAATTCGTTATCCGTAACGTACATTGAGATTCATATTAACTCGTTTTCGTGAGCGATTAGGATGAATCTTATTCGAATTTTTTTGTTGTTGTCTTATTGTTAATAAAAAAAAAAAAAAAAAGTAGAGAAATCCCCAAACAAATTCGTTTCGTTTAACATTAGCGATTAAAACCTGATGCGTGTGCGAATTGTTTAAAAATCGTTAGAAATTAATTAAAACTTTGATACGAAACGATTATTATTTATAATCCATCCCTTGCGGATAAGAAATATTATATAACGAATAATAATAATAATAATTAATAAGTTAACGCGAGAAAGGAAAAAAAATAAGAAAAATCCTTCGGTAAGACGAACCCGTCGAATTTTCTAATTTAATCGATCGATTAAAAGAAAATGAAAAAAAAGGAATAAATAAATAAAAAAAAATAATAATAATAATAAGAATAAGAAGAAGAAATATTAGCGCGAGTTCGAGTAGTTCGTCGTATTTATTTGACCTTCGTAACCGTTGCTGCACTCGTATCTACAAAATGAATTTCTGCAATCGATCGAATGTTCCTGAAACGGTCATAACACGTGTGCTTGTTATTTAATTATTACGAAGGCCATTAATTTTGTTTGTATAAAAATAATAAAATAACGATTATAGCCGTTTTTTATACAAATACGAAATATAGACGATCTTAATTTCGAACGAAAAAAATAAATCATATTTAAATATTCTATACACAATATTGATATATTGTAAACAATTTTTTTTTTTTTTTTTTTAATCAAAAATTTCTTACTATTTACATACATCGACTTTCTTTCGATTAGATTTTCGCAAGATTATAAATGAAAAAAAAAAAAATACATAAACACAACTCGAACTCGTGAGACTGTCGGCCTAACGTGTTTATGCATCCAAAATTGGGCTCCGCAGTTGTATGAAATAGGCACGCACATTAACGCATACTCTCACGCTATTAAACAATAAAACGATACTATTACCTATTACACAATTATAATTGCGTCTAATTAAACCGTATTTGTAATAATATCATCGTTTTGTACTACAACTTTACATACACGCGCGCGCGATATGAAGAGATGGATTTTACAAGAGAAAAAAAATTGTACAGATTTAAATAACGTATGTAATGTCAATGTCTTTTGAATGTTATCGATGTTAAAGATACTCAACAACGGTCCTTCTTAAATAGTATTTACAAATATCGACTCGGAATGGTCATTAAAACTGACAATCTTCAACGTTGTTACGCCTTTGTACCAGTACGTCGGTATTAATTACTATTCATTAGCGTTACACGATACACGTACAATGTTTTTTTACAATAAATAAGAAAATAGCAAACACATACCTACACAAAATGACACAGTTAGTCCTATACGAAAGATACAGTAGGAGTACCAGCAGATAAATTAATTCTAGACTATTACTTTTAAATAATGTTCAACGTATATGGCTATGTCTCTCGTTTACGTGCGATAGAAAACGTACGATAAAACAATTCTGACACTCGACGCAATGAGGTCGATGATATTTTTGCTCTATGTACGTTTAAATGTGGTGTGTAATGTTTTTCATCTATTATATGCCAATTTATGTAAATATTAAATTAATTAAGAAAATTGTGTATATATACATATAATGGTATTAATAACGAATGAACAAAATAAAACACTGTCATAATGTGTATTAATTGTAATTGTACTTGAACAATTATTGTATTATTTATGGCTAAATATAACAATGTATATTACATATTCTATCAATCGTTTACTGTAAACTAAATGTATTTGTTTAAATACATCAATTGCATTGATGCGTAGAAACAATTGCATATAAAGATAAGACGATATTATTCGAAGAAAGAATCATTGTTGTTCTATCATTTCCTTAGCCCGCCTGTTTTATTTAAACTACAGGAGAAGATACTTTCAATCCTTTGAAACCTTTTGCGATTAGATATGTCTCAGTGGAATCATTGCGCGTTGCAATAGGTCTAAATATTTTAATGCTTGTATAAAATTTGCTTAAATCATTACATAATTGTATCGTCTTAGATCCATCCCAAACTTTAGTAACAAACACACCATCTTTACATAAAACTTGGAGAGCAAATTTCAAAGCACAATATGCCAATTTCATTATATTGTCATGATCCAGTTCTCGTACACCGGTAGCATTAGGAGCCATATCAGATAAAACAACATTGGCTTTAGTTTGGTTTAACAATTCATGCAACTTTTTGTGCGCCTCTGCCATAGTAAAATCCATCTGTCCGATAACAGTTGCACCTTCTACAGGAAATATTGGAAGTTTATCTATTCCAATAACTTTACCAACTGGACCATCCTTTTTACCATTGGCATTGGTTAAATTAACAGCAACCTGTGTCCAGCTACCAGGAGAAGCACCACAATCTATAACGGTATCTCCAAAATTAAATATCTTTTTCCTTTCGTTGATTTCTATTAATTTAAAAGCACTCCTACATCTGTAGTTCTCTTGTTTAGCCTTCTCAACATAAGGATCACGTAACTGTCTTTCCAACCATAATTGTGAACTATGTTTCTTGCCTTTCAAATTAGTCGGCTTTTCTCGTAATAATGGTGTACAAGTGTGTACACATCTTGTTGTTAAAATATTATTCAGAAAACGCATGTTTTTTTATTCTTCTTCTTATTATTATTTGTAATCTAACCTCTCCAAGATGAACAATCGATCAAACGATTAATAGAAACATCGTTGAAATTTAACTTATTTTATAATAAATAAATACTGTCGTATTATGTATATAAAAACATATTTATTAATTAATATATTAGATTATTCGATAAAAATAAATATAAATATATCTAAAAAAAAAGTCGATATATATCGTTAAACACGCACTACATATTATGAGAACTATTCCATCGTTTTGATTGGTCAATGAGCAAAGAACGATAGGTTAAAGATTGAATCAGCTGATCAACGGCAGTGGGTAGATTCGTTGGCATGCGCAAACATGGTGGCAGGATTTAGTCGGCAGTTAAGATTGTGCGCTGGTTGCCGGCCATTACCGGCGAATATGTGATCAATTTAACGCGTTTAATCGGACGATACGTACGAATGTATAAGAAAAGTATTTAATTGACGATGAATTTAACTACGGGAAATCCACATGGTAACGGTCTGCTTTACGCTGGCTTCAATCAGGATCAAGGTATGTGACCTAGTGTGCCACATTTTGACAGCGCTGGCATGCTACTGTCAAATTTATTTATTTTACTTTTTTCTTTATTTTTCTCTATTTCTCCCTCTATATATGTATATCTCTATCTCTCTCTCTCTCTCCCGATCTCACTTCTAACCTAAGTAAACTTATCATGTTTTCTTTCTTTCATTTATTCCCATCCCGGTTGGAATCTTGCCCACTAATTGAGTTATTTTTGTCCTTAACCTCATAAAATTATTCCCGACAATATATTTCGTGCGTATTAATTCAGATTTTATCTTATTATGCTTCATTATGTTTTTCTTAACCTCATTCGTTTACCATATCGACATGAACTTTCCTTCATTTTTTCTCAAAAACTTCCTTTATTTTTATTATTGTTATATTTACCACGATTTTTATTATTATCATTTATATGTCTCTGCATATTCTACAAATATATTTATCAAATGACAAAGTACAGTATGCGTTCATTTACTTTTGTATAAGATCATGCATGCCTTTGAACTTTAAGAACATCGTTATGTACTTACAGTATTTAATTAAACACCTATGAAAATACGTCTGCATGTTGTATTAACTTAATTTACATAGATTGTCATAACATCAATGTTTTGTGAAATCATATGTGTCTTTGAACTTTGAGAACAACATTACATACATAGTCAAAGAGTTACTGATAACTTTTCTATATCTTTCTTACCAAAGTATGTTTCTTCATTGAAGTAATCGCTGTATTTATATGTAGTTGTTCATGTATCAATGAATATTGTAAGCGTGTAAGTTAAATGAGTATCCATAAAATAGGATATATATATGTAATATATCTGTAACAAGAAGATAAGAATATCCCCCTTATTAATACCAACTTTTGTATTTACAGGATGCTTCGTTTGTGGTACAGAAAATGGCTATAGAGTATATAATTGCGATCCTCTAAAAGGAAAGGAAAAAGAACGGCATGATTTTAATGATGGTGGTCTTGGTTATGTTGAAATGTTATTTAGATGTAATTATTTAGCCCTCGTTGGTGGTGGGCCAAAGCCGATGTACCCTGTTAACAAAGGTAATATTTCTTATGTTGTACGCAGTCTGAAAAATGAGAAAATAAAATTAATACAAYCAWTKCGATGTTTGCAGTTATTATATGGGACGATTTAAAGAAWGCACCAGCTATCACATTGRAATTTAATGCACCTGTAAAAGGTGTTAAATTAAGAAGAGATAGGATAGTAGTGATATTAGAAGGTGTTATAAAGGTTTATACTTTTACACAAAACCCGCAGCAATTRCATGTCTTCGAAACCAATCCCAATCCGAGAGGATTGTGTGTTTTGTGTCCGAACAGTAACAATTCTTTGCTTGCATTCCCAGGACGTAAAAATGGTCATGTTCAAGGTAAATTATTATATTAAACTATGAAAGGAACATATTGGATTGTATCATCTTTTGTTTTTATAGTTATAGACCTAGCAAATACAGAAAAACAGCCTTTAAACATAGAAGCACACGAAACACCATTATCATGCATAGCTTTAAATCTACAAGGTACTCGACTTGCTACAGCTTCTGAAAAGGGTACTCTGATAAGGGTATTTGATACACAAAGCGGTAATATGATCAATRAATTACGAAGAGGAGCAAATCATGCAAATATATATTGGTAAATAGTTTAAGAGGAATTTAACTGATTATTTTTTTATATGTAACTGTTTTATTTTAGTACCATAAAATTTTATTTTTTAGCATAAATTTCAATCACGATTCAACGTGGTTATGCGTTGCGAGCGATCATGGTACAGTACATGTATTCGCAGTAGAGGATCAGAAATTGAATCGTCAATCTAGTTTAGCATCAGCTACTTTTTTACCAAAGTATTTTAGTTCGAGCTGGAGTTTTTGCAAATTTCAAGTTCCGGGAGGTCCTCAATGCATGTGCGCATTTGGAACTGGCAGTAATAGTATTATAGGTTGGTATCGTTCTTACGAATTTCAAAATTATATTTATTCCAATTACTTGATTATTATAAACGACAAATTGATTTATTTTTTACTTCTGTTTTTTTTTTTTCTTGTCTGAATGTATACAGTGATATGTGCCGATGGGAGTTACTACAAATTTGTATTTAATAACAAAGGAGAGTGTACGCGAGACTTTTATGCGCAGTTCCTCGAATTAACCGATGACAAAATGTGACTGATAAGTGTAAGACGTATGAATCTTTCATTACAAAAAGCCAATGCAACTTATTTGTCATCGTACGTCTTGTCGTTGCTTTCGTTTTACGTTTCAATTGCGAAGGATAGAGATTTGCAATACATTTACGCGTCGTCGTGACTGTCGTATTTGCTCCCATATAAAAAAAAAGAGAGAAAGAAAAAATAATCATATTATTGGGCGAGAGAGGGAAGCAAAAATAAATCTTAAATCTTTGAAAATTAGATCATTCGATGGGAAAAGGACCAAAATGAAGAATTATATGAATTGTTGGTGATACGTGCACTGTGCATGAATTTTTTCATAATAATAATAAGGAGAAATAGAAGAAGATGAAGAAGAAGACGAAGAAGATGATCTAAGGAATATTATATTCGCGATATCGTTTTATCGTTACCAGGGGCCTAGTAAGGAGAAAGATAGATAAAGAGAGGAGAAGTGCGCTTTCTTACTAAATTTACGAATTATTAATTGTCACAGAGAAAAGAAAAGAGAAATTAGCTCTAAAGGATCAATGGATCGAAGTGATATCTCGCTTTTCATAAGAAAATTTGGGAACTTCTTTTAAAAAAAAAAAAGAATTTTAATGATAAGAATGCATCATCGTCACTCTATAGCATTTTTTTAATTCATGCGCTTTTACTAAACACTAGAATGAATCATTGTGCATATCCTTTCACCGTGTTCTTCTTTTTAGTTATATCTTTTACTTTTCTTTTCTTTTCGTAGATATTTTATTAAATATCGTACTTTCTATTCTTTGTTTTTTTTTTTTTTTTTCTTTTAAATCGAATCATGCACTATTATTATAAAAAAAATTTATCATATATTTCGATGACCGATTAAATCGATGAAAAAGAAGATAAAAATAATCAAATGGCTATTTCGCGTATAGTAAACTAATTCATTCGAACGACGACGAATTAAAAAGACAACAAAAAAAAGAAAATATATCAATCGTTTAACTTTTAAATAAGGTTTTATAATCTTTATTTTTATTATATATCATTTCCACGTACACATTTAATATACATATACACAAGAATTATCAACTATATTCGATTGTTAACATTTGAAATTCCTGTTTCATACAAAAAAGAATGAAAAAAAAAAGAAATAATAACAAATAAAATATAGATCAAAGATTGTACTTTCACCGAAGATTATTAGATTTTCAATTGCGAAATAAAATTCATTATGCCTCGTAAATTCTCGTACACAAAGAGAAAGAGTTACGTTCACATTTTCTTCATCGCACTAAAACATCAATCAACAAGTAAATAATATCTTACAACCGCTACTCCCACTCCCACCCTTCAAAACCTTTTCCCCCATCTTTTCAAAGAGATAAAACGATACTATATTATATACAAATCGATCATAAAAGCTTATCGATTTATTCGTATTATTATAATCATGATTTTTATATTCCATTTAGTTCAACTCTTTTTTTTTTTTTGCTAAATCATCACTTTGATTCGTAACGAACACTCGTATGCGTATACGTTTAGGGTTGTTTCCTTTTCTTTTTTCTTTTTTTTTTTTAATGTGTATTGTATATATACGATCAAAGCGATTGAAATGAATTCGTCCTGCGCATATGCTTATAAGATACAGATATATGTATGTATGTATTTGTTTCTCTTTTTTTTTTTTCTTTTATCTTAAACATATTAGTCTTGACTAATGTACAATTTTGTTAAATCGATAAAGAAATAGAGAAGATTCCAAGGACTGTACAAAGCATGATTCGGACACGAACGTAGAAGAGACGTTTAAACTTTCATTTTCATTTTTTTTCTCCTTTTAGTTTCTATTTTTTTTTTTTTTTTATATTTTTTTTATTTTTTCATTTGTTAGTTCGAAAAAATGCGCAACGCGTTTATATACAACGAGTCGCAAGAATATTTTGCGTAATTCATATCGTGTAATGTAATGAATTGAAAAATTTTCGTTAATAATTAAAGTACGAATAAAATAACGCTTTTACCACAAAACGTATAAAAAATTCCTCTTGGAAATGTTCGATTTTTGATCATTTTTTTGTGTCATCGAAAATCATGATTGAGAATTGTGCGTAGGTTTAGAAACCGTAAGCTGATTGTAAAATGCAATTTTAAATAATCCTCACGTATATATCGGGTGAGAAGAAAAATATTACCACTCGCCTTTTTTCGATGATCGAAATTTTCTTTGTTCCATACGTTTTATTTTTTTTTTTTTTTTTTTTTTTTTTTTTTTTTTCTCGATGCTAGAACGATCCTCCTCCGATCAGATTTTTTTTCTCGTTGTATATATTTGGATGTGTATATCTATATATGTATATGTGTGTATGTGTGTGTGTGTGTGTGCGCGTCTTCTTTTTTTCGGTTTTGTTACTTATTCTTCACATCTTTTTTCTTAAAGAAGAAAAGAGAAGAACTTTAAACCTCGTTGGGTTTATTAGCCGCCACGTGAAACGATTTCGAACCCTCTGCAATCGGTAATGGATCTTTCTTGTTGACACTGTGTACTTCGTGCGTTAATCCTTTTTTTATTTCAAGACCCTTGTACGTACTATACACGACTAACCATAAATAGGAAAACGTGATAACAAATAACAACACGATCACACCTAATAAAATCAAACGAAAAAATATTTCCATTATTAAAATTGTGTTTTTTAATATAAATCAAAATAAAAAAAAAAAAATAAAATATGATTAAAATTAATTAATCGATCATTACTTCACACTTACGTTCGAAAATGTCTACCTTGCCACCGAAATTAGCAATGAATGTACAATCCTGTTCAACAAGGAACAAGGATAGTGTAAACGCCGATATTGTCGTCATCATTACCATCATCCAAGGTGTCATAAAATAACGCTTGTTCTACACACACACAAGAAAAAACAACAAAATTCAAACGATATGTTTTTTGTTTTTTTTCTTTTTTTTTTTCTAAAAATAAATTACTAAACCGTGATACAATTATATGTATAAAAAAATATTAATTAAATTTCTCTTATTAATTATTACCTTTATTACACCGTAAAGCAGCAGACTCGAAGTCATGAAGTGTATCACTGTGATAGTTAATCCACAATAAATAGAATAAATGGTCTCTGAAGATAAATAAATTAATAATTAGATGTTATATTGGTAGAGAAAATGTGAAAAAAATATATATTAGGTATATTATATAATTATATATATAGATATTATTTTCATAACTTTATTTTTTTTTTTAATTTCTTTATTGTTTACCAGTAGCATTGTGATGAGCCATGTCCATTTTTTTAGTGTTAAGATAATTCGAGGATATATCCTCCAAAGCTTCCCTCTCGAGTGCATCCTCGGTATCTCTTGCCACCATTTCTTGAATTCCCATAGCATGTGCCAATGCCAGGACGAAAAAATAAATAATAAATCCGGACATGAACTAACGGAAGATGTAATAATAATAATTAGAAATATTTTTATATGATATGATATATTTGATGGTATTTTTTGTTTCATTTTTTCTTTAATAAATTTACTCACCAATTCCGTTATTGCAATTAAAATGGTACCTTGACGGAGAGTGAAATAGCATAAACAATTTTTCAACAGTCCAACCTTCATCTTGACTTAATGAAGTTTATTCAATCCTATTAATAAAATAACTTAGAGAGAATATAAAACATTATAATAATAATTATTATAATATATATTTTGAGATCATTTTTTTGATTGAAATTCGTATCGATGCTAATTTTTATTTAAAGATCACGCTATACTGTTATTTATTTTTAGCCTTAAATATTCATAATAAAAATAGCAAGAAAAAAAGAGAAAAGCATATAATTATAAGAAAAAAGATAAAAAAAACAAAATTGTAAAGATCGCAAAACAAATGTTAAGATAGAAAAAAGTCAAATATGTATCGAAACGCAACTTACCCCTTAGAATAACTAGACGAAAATAATAATATTATTATATATATATATATATATATTCGAAAAAATATGAACTGTTAATAGTTGAACTTTCAATTTGGTTGCACGTTTCCACCAGGTAAAGGAGAATCAATAACTTTCCACTGTATTCTGACACGCGCGATAACAAAACATTCGACGACTTGATGAAAACTCCGGGTACACTTTTTCAGATAACAAATTGAGAAAATATTGTTACGTTTGAATTGACGACAACGATGATAATGACAATGATGATGATGATGTTAACGATAATGATATAAAGATTTGTATTTTTTCGGATATGTTTCGTTTGAAATGAACGTTAGATTTCAACAAAGGGTTCATTGAGTTAGATTTTTTAACTGCGTGTTACTGATGCTGCTGTTATTGTGCTGTTATTACTGCTGTTAACACCGATTAATGGAAAACGCAATTTTCTTTAGCTCGTCCGTAGGAGGGCGGCTGGGTTAGGTGGAAGGTGAAGAAGAGAAGGGTGGCCAGGAGTGTAACTAGGAAGTTTCCCTCATCCTTAGGGTAACAACTCCTCCTTGGCCCTCTGTATCTTTCTACTGATCATACTGATTCTATTACTGGTGGTGTTATTTTGCTTGCTTGCTTGTTCACTTGGTAGTCACTTGCTTGCTTGTTCACTTGCTTGTTCACTTGCTTGCTTGCCTGCTTGCTGATCTTTAAGCCTTTTCACGCGCAGACGCATCACAAACACTGCATCCTTCGAGAACTGCATTTCGTTACGATCGACCACAACCATTCATTCATTCTTCCTTTTATCTAAACGTATATAACATTTTAAAGTCTGATCGGGACAATTTCTTTTACGTATAACTCCGATCGTACATATCGATTTCTTTTCCTTTTCCTTTTCTTTTCTTTTTTTACAATATTTATTTTATAAATGTGAAATTACGAAACGATATTATTAATAGTTTTATGTTATTACTAGACGGGTAATTGGAGGAGTGACAAAATATTGTCATTGTATTTAGTATGGACAAAATTATGGAATATTAGAACGAACGAAATTGAATTGGACAGAATTTGAAATAAATATGTTAAATTTATAACCATTTTTTTGTTGTTATAAGAAAGAAATTTATTATTATGTTATATTTGTAAGACGCGTTTATATATAATATAGAAAAAGTATTTCTATGATATAAGCGAATTGGTTAAATTGTTTTTGAATTTAACATATGAAATTCTTTTTTCTTCTCGATCAAACTTACTTTTAATTAACAAAATACAAATAAAGATCTTTTTTGTTGAGATTCGAAACTTTTCAACTCCCGGCCCGTACAATTTGTCTATTATGTACTAAAAATATATTAATTATTATAGAAAATATAGCGTTTTCTTACTACAATAGTAAAAAATAATACGAAGCAAGCTATTTGCAATACTTTTTTCTTTTTGTACCAACGCATGCGTTTTACACAATTTTCTTTCAGTTTACGATATTAAAATTTGTCGTTATATATTTTGTGTACGCGTGATACGGGGATAATTTTTATTTATATTTATTCGTAGATAATTAAAACATCTTATCTTAATTTCGTTATGTAAATTGCATAGTAGTTTCTATTTAAAATCATCAAGATAACATGTATAATTTGTTTTTTTTTCAAATTATTGTTATTAACATTTGATTCACCGTGTATGAAGCTGATAAAATTTTAGAACTTATTGATATCGGGTATAAAATTTGATCGAAAAGTTAGTTCGATCAAGTTGAATCATCGTGGGTGGATAGGGCGGCAATGGAGGAATGGGGGTTGATGTAGTCATAGAAACGTGACACGAGTTTATGTCATTCGTTCGATCTCAACTCGAAAAGATATAAATGTGATCGTACCGGTTTCTTTGATTCGTCATTTCGTTTTTAACGCGAATTCGTTTGATACATCTTCTATACGTTAGTGGAAATTAATTTTTCTATCAGTATATCCAAATTAAAAAA